ACTATTAATAAATCTAATTTAAAATTAGTTAAATTATCTAAACAAACTAAAAGATATTTAAAAAAAAAAGCAAATAAAACAAACTACAAAAATCTTTCGAATGCTATAATTTGTATCTACTAACCTCAAACATTTTCACTGAAATTTTTAAATTAACATATTTATAATATGAATATCATACTTCATATTCGTACGATTTATGATAATTTGTATCTTGTTTGAAAAAAACAAAGTTAAACCATTGATCATAAAATTTTCAGTGTGGGATTTTACTATTTTTAGTTATTTATTATCGTTTTAAAAAAAATTAAAAATATAACCTATAAGAAAAAATTTAATTTTTTATTATATATCTAATGTGATTGTTTAATTTAATTTAATAATTTAAAATTAAAAAAAAAGAGAGAGGACACAAAAATATGTATTATTCATAATCATTAATTACATATATATGTTTATCATATTAGGTAATTCCGTAGCTTTTATTTAAGGAAAGAAAATATATTGCTTTATACGTAGCAAAATTGGTCCCTTAAAAAATGCTTATATATTATAGTCTTTAATGTAAGAAATTAAATGTTACATTATTTCATTCCTAGCAAAATTGGTCCATTAAAAAATTAAGGCTGAGAAGCTCTGTGAGCTTGACACGTAAGCATGCTTTTCAAGGTTGTGCATTTATGAATGCTTCAGGATTAATATATAAGGGATGTAAAAGTTACATAGATGTAAGAAAGTTACCTATATTTTGAAACAATTTTTAATACTATTTACAATAAAAAACGGAGGGAATAGTATATAGTTTTAATGAAGATACTTTATTTCTTTATTTATTTTTGTAAATAAATACATAACTTAAGAAGAAACTATAGTTTGCAAAAGAAATGAATGATTATTAATGAAAGAAATCAAGCTATAAAACCCACATTTGTTACTTTGTATTTGTAACTTTAAGAATTATTATTTTCCAGTAACAGAACTATAAGATTTATTTACTAATCTAGAACCAATAATTGTTGATTTTTAGTATGGGAACTTCCCACCAGCGAAGAACAAACCAACTCTTTGGGAAATGGCTTATCACCGACGACTATATGTTCTTCTTTGACCTGGTCAAACATGTGGAGCTGTGTCATTACACCTGGGGATTCATCATCACCTTTTTGACCACCACATGTGACACGATACAACAAGTTAGGGTTTGTGGTGGTGGTGGAGGAGGAGAACGTCCGAAGGGTTTGGCATCTCTGTAGAAGCGTGACATCAGAAGCAGAACAATACAGAGACTACACAAAAACCTATAAAAAGAGATTGGAGAGAAGAAAAACTACCAGGGCAAGTTTGCGGAGGGAAGGCTTGTAAGAGAGGCTGAGTAGCAAAGAAGACGACATAGCTTGGCCTTCTCTCAAAAGGGTTTCTGAGTTAGTCTCTTCTTGTGTCTGATCTTAGAAGACACAAAAGTATATCTTTGGTTGGCCACAAGAAAAAGGGTTTTCAATTGTCTCTTTTCTTTTCTCCATTTTTTTCATTTTTTCTTCTTCTTTCCCTTATTATACAATCTTCGGACAAAGACAAAGAAAAATCTTTTTTTTTCTTAAAAAAAAAAGAAAAAGAAAAATCTTGTGATCAAATTTGTACAAAAGATTCTTTACATTTTTCTTTCTCACCACGCTTATCAATTATTATCATACTAGGTGATTTTCCCGTGCTCATGCACGGGTATGAATATTCATAAAAGTAAAATTTTATAATAATTAATTGATATTTAGTTTTCGTTTTGAATCAATTTATATGTATAATTTATATTAATAAATATTATATTATTTTAACTATACATATGACTTGGATATATTATTGTCAGTTTAATTATTTTTTGGATCAAAGTCGGTTTGGTTATCAATTTCGTATATTGGATAATATCTATTTTTTGAACTCATCTATAATATTTTTATTCTAAATGTAATAAAACTTTTATTAATTTTCTTATTTTCATTTCGGTTGGTTATTTTCTTAGATATGTAAATATATTATAGTTAAATTATGTATAACTTAATATATATTATGCTTAAATGAAATAAATAATAAGCTGAAGTGTTTGATTCAAAATTACATAAATGAATATAATGATAATATTTTGAAGTCTCATGCATATATATAAATTCCACAAAAGAATTAAATTGCAATTGGTTATTTTTTTTTTCTCTTTTATATATGCTTTGAGTCAACCTCTAATTTATATGCATACAATTAAATAGATTATTATTATTATTATTATTATTATTATTATAAAATTATATGTTGTTATTGTAGTTAGATGTTTAATTTTAGATATAAAATAGATTAGTTGAGTCATTCATTTTGTGAGTATATTGAGTTAAATATATTTTTAAATTAAAATTGAAGTATAATTACTTTTTATTTTAGTTAAGTAAGATTAAATTAGTTTAATTTATCGCTTAAATATACATGTATTTTCATAATAATATTTTTCTCTTTATTGTAGTTAAGTCAAATCAAATTAGTTTTATTTATCGCTTAAATATACATGTATTTTTATAATATTTATCAAATTATATGTTGATTCCAAAAAAAAATAGAAAATAAAGTGTAAGTGATAAATTTTTGGATGTTCATGAACATATATATATTTATTATTTTGAAAATATATTTTATTTTATTTAAAAATATATATTAATTGGGAGATTACTATTTTGTGAAACTTTCCTTTTTAATAAAGTCATATTATATACATATATTTTCGTTTTAATTTTTTTAATTTTTTTTTAGAAATGTTTCCTTTTTTTATTATATATGTTATTTGGAAAAAGTAAAAAATAAACTAAATTAAAAATTTAATAATAATCTTAAAATCTAATAATTCATTAAGGGTATCTATGTAATCAACCACTATGAGAGTTAACGTGAGTGCGACAAGTAGGAAACTGACTTCTCAAATAATATTATAGAGATTGAATACCCCACATTTACTATTTCAACCACATCAATGTTTTAATTTTCATAATTTTATTTAAAGAAAAAAATAAAGATAGTAACTAGTACAACTGAAAACAAACATAGTTCAACACAAATTAGAGACATAATAATCTTGGCATAAACTACTGAAGGACAGTAATTACTAGCTAGAGAGGCATTGGAGGGATCCAGTGAGAGGCAAGTGATGCTGTGGAGAAGGCTGCAGGAGACTTGGGACGGAAGGAACGTGGTTTCCTAGTGGCTATATCATAAACACCAAAACCATCTCCTGCAAAATAAATGGAATTAGGGTTTAAGCCAGGGAAGGAGCTTGCCTTGACACAAAAGGGCTCACTATTTCCCAAGAATATGCAGAGATCACCAATGTCCTCTGTGTAAGACATGACCCTTGTTTCTTCTTCCTCTCTAAACACCATGAAACGCTTTGTTCCTCGACACAAGAACGTCATCTCCTTCCCCGGTCGGTGGTTCTGAGCGTACCATTTGATCAAGAAACGTTCTCCAGAGGGAGACTCCACAAAGTGTACAGTCTTGGAACATGAGTCCAATATCTCCCACTCGTACTGTGTCAACTCAGGTTGGTTGGTGAACCGCAACTCCTGCAACTCGGAGCCGGTCATGTCCTCCTCGAATAAAGCGTCGTAGAAAAGCATGAACTGGCCGGAAACACTAGTGGTGTAGAATTTTCCATCACGCTTTGAATACATAACCTTTGACTGATTGAAATGTTGGAGAAAAGTCTTGGAGTGAACCGAACCAGAGTCTTTGTGTTTGCCACCAGGTCTAAAAAAGTTGATCACAGGTCCTAAACAGTTGATAGCCACTGCGAAATCATTGCTCTGATCAGGTGAACAAGTCATTGCGGCGTTAGTGACGCCTAGCTGTTGGGGAAGATTAGGTTTATCCATGGGATGCAAAGGAATGGTTTTAGGGTTTGATTTGGAGCCGCAAGGACTGTAGTAGTCGCTGATATATAAGACTTTCTTTTTATTATTACCATCATCATACCGGGACTTGAAAACAACCCAACCATGAGACATTCCGACCAGAAAACACTCTTTACGAAACTCCATGGGAAGTGCCTTGTCTCGTACGATCACTTCATCTTCCTTGACAGGGTCGAAGTAGTGGATGCCGCTTCTTACGTGAAGATCCTCATCAGGGTTTCCATAAATTGTTTGAGCATACACTAAGTAAGGGTTGGTGGTGGTGGAGGAGGAGGAGAACCTAAGGGTTTGGCATCTCTGTGGAGGCGTGCAAAGTAGACATCAGAAGAAGAAAACAGAGAGATAAGGAAGAGAACTTACCAAAGTAAGTTTGCGGATAGATGAGAGCTTGGAAGAGAGGCTGAGAAGCAAAGACGAAGACATAGCTTTGGCCTGCACTGTGCCGCTCTCAAAAGGGTTTCTGAGTTAGTCTCTTCATGACTCGATCTAAGAAGATCCAAAGTACTTGTTTGATTGGCCACAAGAAAGAAAAGGGTTTTCAATTATGTATCTCTCTCTCCTTTCTTTCCTATGTTTCCACGTTTCTCTACTTTCCTTTTGTTTTTACTTTCCATTGTTACATATAATCTTGTGACAAAGGTAATGTAAAATCTTGTGATAAATTTTTCTTTACTATGCACAAGCTTTTTTTTTTTTTTTTCACTGCTTTACTATGCACCAGCTATTCTTCTTTATTCAATACCTTGCATTTATTATTCCACTCGCACCAACCACATGAATGTTTTAGATTTCAAACTATTAAATACTACTCTTTCTGTTCCTAAAAAATCAATATTCTAGTTTTTTACGCTTTTTAATAAAACACAATAAATTTACATAATTTTTTGTATTTATCTTCTTTCCATAATTTTAAATCAATAAAAATCAATTAGTGCAATTAAGTTTTTTGAAGTTTACAATTAGTTAATAAAACATGCATTGAAAATATAAAAAATAGATCTTTTAGAAACAAATTTTTTTCTAAAATATATATATTTAAGGAACTGAGGGAGTATAAGTAATGCTAGTAAATAGTACAATTGAAAACCAAACAAAATTATCCAGCCAAAGTATGTAAGTATGTATCTTCAGTAATAATATTAGGAAAATATACCGGGGTTTGTTCTTATTTGAGCTAGATTATAAAACTCTTTGATACGTAAGCCACATTTGGAATAAATTTAAAGTTATGTTTGGTGTAAAACTTTTTTAGAGATATATTTTGGGTGTTGGATTGTAGGTTTTAATGTTTGTAAAATTATATACCTGTATACTTTTCAAAGTAGTTTCAACGAAAATTTTTAGACACACAATGTGAAGGCTTTGTTTCAAACCTTCTTAAGTAGATCGAAGACCAAAGTCCTTACCACAAGAAAAAGTCATGTCTCACTCACACTCTACTTTTTTCCTCTATTTCCAGAATATGTTTCTCTACTTTTCCGGAAATTCTTGTGATAAAATTTGTACACAAGATTCTCTACTATGCACCTAGTATCTTATTTACCATTCTCACCTCCATTGGTATCCCACTCACATTTACTATTTCTACCAGTACCAACACACCATTGTTATAATTTTACTAAATTTTTTAACTTAACGGATAGTACAATTGTAAACCAAACAATTATCCAGCGAAGATATGTATATATGTATGTAGAAACATATGTATAAATCTTGTGACGAATGAAAATGAAACAAAAAAACAATTGTAATCAAACTTGTACACAATGTTCTTTAGTATTTAGTGTTTTGGATTTCAGAATTTTATAGTTATACTAAATTAAGAAGAAAAAAAAGAAAGATAGCAAATATCTCAACTGAAGACACAAAAAATAGAACACATATATCAGCTATGTAAGGGTGGGCACAATCATCCATTACTTGGTCCATACTCGTTACTTAGTTCGTACTTGATTTGTAAAATCGAGTATTTGGTTTCATCAGGTCGAGTACCAAATAATCTATTTAAATTTATCGCAAGTCAAACCAAATATTAAATATTAAAATAGAATAATTTTTGTGCTATTTGGCTTGTTACTTATTTTTGTTAATGAACAAATATACATTTCTCGAAATCATAATAAAATAATGTGTTTATACATTTATTTCCCTAAGTAAATCAATAATATGTGATATATATATAAGTATCTTGGAATTTTCTTTCTTATATATTAAATTTTTTGAATTAACTAAAATATAAAAAGCAATGAGATACTTTATAAATAACAAAATTATTTAGTTTTAATTCTTATGAATTAGCAAATAATTTACCAATAAATTTTCAGTAATTAAGTAATTTTTAAGTAACAAGTAATAAAACAAGATAGGTAACTTGCAAACCGTTATTTATATCAAGTACTTGAAATTGTAAGTAATCATTTTTAACAAATATCAAATATAAGTAAAAGTTCTTACTTGGTAAAACCACTAGTAAGAGTTTCAGTAATCTAATAGTTTTTATTTGGATCTTTCTTTCAAAAACAATTTAATTTATATTTTAATTAACTAAAAATATTCTAACCATAAATTGTTATTTAAAAAAAAATATTCTAAATTTTAAATTACATAAAATATTGAAACAAGGTTATGAGTTTTAAGAATGGAAAAGATTTTTTTTATAAAGTTTTAAAACATCATATATAGTATTATCGCAAAGTATATTAACTTCACCATTCATATAGACATAAGATAGTGTACTTACCAAAACTACAATTTGCAGAGGAGATTTTGTACATGTATCTATAAATAGACTATTTAAATAATGTTTTACGTAATATTTACATATGCAACTATATAATATGTTATTATAGTTTAGATATCATAAGATACCATACTAGATACATTTAGGTCATACCATATAGTATATCATAATTTACTATTGTATTCCTTAATGGTATACCAGACAATAGTATATTAGGTACATTTCAGTTATAACTTATATATTAAATAACCAAAATTTCTAAAATTAAGTAAGATACTAATATTTCTATTTGAAAAAAAAATCAGTTTTTAAAGTATATTACTTAAATTGAAGATGTATGTATTTAAGTATAATATATATCTTTTAGTTTTTATAGACCTGAAATCCATTTTTCCTAAAATGTATATATATATATATATATATGATTTTAACTAGAAATACAGCTAAGGACTGATTGCATAATATATTTAATTGACAAAACATATTTAGTTGTAAATCTCAATATAAATGTGATTTAATAAGAGAACAGCATTCTACTATATTCCAAAATATGTGAAAATTTTCTTGTCAACTTTCATACTACTAGATGTTAATTTTTTTTATTTCTTCGTTTTATTTGTAAGTTTCTAAATGTTGATATTTATTTGACATATAAAAAAATATATTCTTTGTCTATGAAACTATTACATAGTCAAATATATGTATAAATGTATATATACAAACATTGTGTTGCTTACAAAACATATACAAACATACTAAATAATTGTATTTGTTTAGAAAATATGAAAAATTGACGAACAGTTTATGTAACATATCATTTTGATTGTTTCATAACCAAATACAATATGATCAACCAAAACATATTAAAATAATTAAAATAATCATCTTTGTGTGAAGTAATAATAATAATAATAATAATAATAATAATAATAATAATAATAATAATAATAATAATAATAATAATAATAATAATAATAATAATAATAATGTTATTCATTACAAAATAAAAAATATTTGCATGAATGCGAGGATCACAGTTTAGGATTATTATTTTATCGGATGATAATATTTTTAATCCAAAATATGTTGCTAAGAAACTCAATAGAGATTTTTGCACGTGCCGTAAACCTCTTCTTGGCTCAGCGCGATCTCTTTGGCTTATTCAAAATCAACCAACAAAGATAATTTTTTTTTTTTTTTTTTTTTTAACAAAGATTTTTGACTGTACGTGTTAGATATCAGACTAATTCCGTTAATAATGTTTTAGCATTACTTGTGTGGTTGTTAACCTCTAGTGATCACTTCTTTCCCTTTCTGCATATTGAACTTCACCATTTCATTCTAATTAGCCACTTCAGCAAAATAAATAAAAGTACAAGAAGTTCATAACCAAATTATCATGACACTACTTTCTCGGCCATCTTTTGTACTTTTGCTGGTAGAGCAAACACAATTGATCTTTGAACAATTTTGACAATGGTGGCTTGTGAGCTCTGATGCTTAAACAACGGAAATGTCTTCCTTATTTGGCTTGTGAGTTCATATAAACATAAACTTAAACAAGAAACAATTATAGAATCGAACTCAGAATTGTACACACCAGCAAAAATATTCAAATGTGGTTTTACAAAATAAAAGGATCAATCATTACAAAGTAAAGAAATCAAGTCAGAACTGTATCTACTTCAGCAACTGGTGAACCATTCTCTCTCTCTCCTATTTGCTCATATAACCAACCAAAACTGTACCAAGCCATTGAATTCATCAATTGTGTCCTGAAGACTATAACCTTCACAATCAAACCATACACACATTAGTTCAACTCAAAAACATTACGATAGAAGTAAAGATGATAATGCCAGAGAAGAGATATCATACCTATATGCGTCTTGTTGTCCCGATGTCGTTTATGGAAAATTGAACAGGCGTGTTCTTACTTGTCCTTTCGATCTAACGATATCGGCGTGCAATCTTCGAGCAAAATCTGCTACCAATCTGTATATATATATTCACTATATAAGAAAAGAAAAAGAATCGTGGCCACAAATTTTGATTTAACAAGAGTCTTACTTATCAACTTCATCATCATCTTCATCATCATCTTCATCATCTTCATCATCTTCAGACCCGAGCATTGACCTAAAGATGTCATCTTCCGCACTAGGTAAGTTGGGTACCTCTACCTCCTCTCTCGTGATGGTTCCAGTCTCTTCGGCTCCTTCTTTTTCATTTGAGGAAACAGTCTTCTTGCCCTTCTTTTTCTTGTTCTTCTTCTTTTTCTTGTTCTTCTTCTTTACCACCTTGGCATCTGTGAAACAGAACTTTCCTTACTTCCAATGAGGCCTTCAAAAGGAAGTTGAATAGAGAAGGGAGAAGACTAAGAGACAACATAAATTCACACAGATCAATCATGTTTTATTCATCAAATGTACTTCTTGAATATCCATTGAAATGAAAGACATCAGCATTAGACGAAACATACATCACTGAATCAACGCAGAAACATGAACTACAATTTGGTGGCACAAGAAGAAACAGAACATAACGAAAGGATTCTATCAATGAAGTTAGAAAAGATCAAAGTAAAGGTACCTCCTCCGTTGATAAATGATACCAAGTCATCCACAGAACGTTCGTCCACATGTTTTTTAACCTCAACATTCTAATACATGGAAAACGCCAACTTCATAAGCTAGTGAAATAGCTCACTCTTACGGTCCAAAGTACGCTCAAGTTCATTCACAAACGTATAAAAAGACCTTCAAACTCTCTCTTTCTTTCAGCTCCTTTTTCTTTGCGTACAATTTATTCCGTAGTCGAATCCCTGTATTATTCATTGTGTTCTTCACAGGTTCTAATTTCTCCTCCTGGATTAAAAAAAAAAACATTAAAGAATGGTCAAAAAAGAAAAGCAGAAGGAGGAGACACATCCTGCAAAGAGATGATCTTGAGCAGCACATGACATACCTCAGTTATGTCATCAGGAAAATTAAAAAACTCTGCAGTCTCCTCAAGGGTTTTTCCTTCAAGGATTCGTGTAAGTGCGCGACGATTAAGATCAACCCCAGGCTCCAGCTGCAAACTAGTAGCGGCTAAGCCCAACTCACATAGCTTCTCTTTGTGCATCCCGGTGAATTTTTTATTATAAGTTTTTCGTTCCTAAAGGGCAGATAAATATTTATATATATTAAAAGAGGGCAGATGGAGTAATTGAGCATGGACATGGAGATATCTGGAACTGTGATACAAACCTTGTCTGAACGTCCAGGCATTACATGGAATGCACAGTACTCTTGAATCAAGCTGAGCATATCTTGGTTTACTTCCGGTGGGAGCGATATTGCATCATTCTGAGAAGTTCCAACACCCTTGAGTACCTCTTGCCATATCATGGAACAGCACATTGCAAAGTTTCGTTCCACTTTCAGAATTGAACCATCAGCAGTTTTGAGCCAAACGGAGGCCATCTGAATCCATGACAGAGCAAAAAGTAGCTTAGCTTTTGAGCACAGTGCAAAATTGCATTAAGCCACTCTCGTATAAAGTCCACACGATTTGAGAAAAAAAAAATATATTAACAACTTAATCAAGCAAAATTCAAGGTATGACAACAGTCTTAGTCACAACTTCAAAACGCTAGACTGTGAAAAAAAATCCACGTATCAAGAGGTCTTTAACTTGAATTTACTACTAAACAATGTCACAATATCTAACAACCCTCAGAACCATACCATCACAACGTTAAGCAAATACTAACTAAAAGCAAATAGACGTTGGTCATTTTTTTTCTATTGAAGATTGTCTTACCTCTCGTTTCATGAAGTCCTTAAAACTTTCTGACGTTGATACTGGAGTTGATGACCCACAGCCACAGTTAGGCTCCTTAAAAAAGAAATTATAGTTGCACATTCAGCTCCAAGAAATAGGACACACACACACACACACACAAGCCACAGAGAATACACCAAGTAGATGACGATCTTTAGCAATATCCAGCAGCAGCAACTCCATCCATCAAAACAAGTAAAAAAGAAAGCACCACATTTAAAAAGAATCAACTCTTCCGCAATAGAGTTATCATCATCCCTCTTCAAATGCAAGCAGAGGACATATTTTGAACCTACGAAACATCCAATTCAATCAAGAAATCATGAGTAAACCCTAAAACAAGAAAATGGAACTACAAATCAAGATACAGAGTATATACTTACTATACCAATTAACACAATCAAACGCGTAAAGAGTATAGTACGATACGAGAACATGCAATCTACAGATATGAGCTCGCTCTTTCGAACGAGAAAGACACCAAGAAGAGTCATCTGATAAGCGCGTCGTACCAGCGGTGGAGGCATTTCAATCTGACGGTGCGCAGCGACGACGGCGGATATGAGAGAGGGTAGTTCGTGGAGTTATCGGAACGAAAGCAAATGGTTAGTTAGTCCGATTCGACTCAGTGTGTGAGCTGGTGTGGTGTGTGGGTCGAGTTGTTAAGTTCGTTGCTGGACTATCTTCTTATATATTTTCTTCGCTGGTTTATTTATTTATTTATTATTGTGTGAAAATTTATTTTTTCAATTACCCGACCCGACGGAAAACGGATCTAGAGTTGGTGTGTGGACTAAAATATTAGCCCGTTTATAATTGTGGCTTTTCATATAGCCCAATTATGGGTCGGACCTTTTTTATATTTCGAATCTTTGGAGTTGGTTTCGTGGATTATTTGTGAAATAATTAAAGAAAACATAAATTAGTTTTCTGGAGAGAGATACGAAGAGAATACATAGGGGAGAGAATAAGATTATGGTTAGTTTGTGAAGTTTGGTTTTTTCCTTAGTTATTGAGTCCAATTTCTCTTTATAGTTTAACACATATTATTAGGGATGGGCACAATAACCAGTACTTGAACCCGAATCTGATCCGAAATAAGTGGTTCGGTTCGGGTTTGGATAGTATCAAATACCCGATCGATTTTCATTCTCACTATTTTGGATAACCAAACCCGATCGGTTATTACCTGATACCCGAACCCACCTGAACATAACCGAAAGTATATATACCTAATCTAGACCTTACCTTTTATGATTTTCCCCTTTCCCAAAATCAAGTCGTGCAATTTATAGAGACACTTAGTGTTCCCAAAAATCTAGATTCCTAGAAACGTTTAGTGTTCCTTTTGTGTCAAGGCAAGTTTATTCCTTAATAATCAGAACCCAAACCTTAAAAACCCGAATCCGACCCGAAGTATAAAATAACCTGAACAGATTTTGACCATGTTCGTTTGGTGGTCGCCAGCGTCAGCGACCAGAGTCAGCGACCAGCGTCAGCGATTTGATGTCGCTGATAGTTGTTCGTTTGGTGGTCGCTAGCATCAGCGATTGATCGCAGCAGTTGTCTCTAAGTTGTTCGTTTCAATGTCGCTTGCTACCAGTTCTTTACATTTAATTTTTTTTTTTTGATAAAAAATATGCTCATAGTTATTTTTTTTTTGAAAATTCTTTTTCAGTTACTAAATTATTAAAAAGTCATAAATAGAAAAAGTCAGAAAATATTAATATTTTTTATTAAAAGATAAGTATAAAATACAGAAAATAGAAAAATTACAAAGGTACTTGTAAAATAAGTTCAATGTTTAGTGTTTATTGGTTGAGATTTTCTGGATTTTTATAGCTAGATTAATACATGGTTTGTAAATAGCTCCTAAAAGCATTTCACTTATTTATTTTCTTTGATCTGATATATGAGAATCATTTTAAGATAATAAATTATTCTAATTTGAATTAGATAAATCGTAACTGAGAGACTGGCTGCTATTTAGATTTTTTTTATTTGTTATGTTCTTTGTGTGTATTGGCTAGAATTGGAAAAAGTTTATGATTATTAAAGAGAAAAAAAAATAGTAATGATAGCTCAAAGATAACCAGTTTATAGCTACTTTAAACATTAAACTTATTTAACAAGTACTTTTAAGATTTCTTTTGAATTTTTATGATTTGATATTTATGTATTTTAGACTTATTTTACTAATAAAATAATATAAATACTTTGTGATTTTTTTTGTCATAAAAAAAAAATAATGACTTTTATGATTTTTTTTCTTTTATGAATTTTTATTTTTGTATTATGATATTTATATTAATAATAAAATATTATTTGTTTATTTGTTTTCGTTTTTCAAAAGTTTAATGAATTTATGATTATTTTGATATTTTACGAATTTATTCTATTTTTGTATTATTATTTGTATTTTATTAATAAAAAAATTAAATTATTGTTTGTTATTCTTTTTTTTTGTTTTTGGTGATTTTTTTTTATTTTCAGTATTATTATATTTATTTTATTAATAAAATTATTTAATTATTATTTTAAAAAATAAGGATTTTTATGAAAATTTTCTATTTTGTATAATTATATTTATTTTATTTATACAATAATTAGTTTTTTTTCAAAAAAGAATAATGCCTTTTAGGATTTTTAATGATTTTTATGTTTTTTGAATTTTTATAATTTTTTATTTTTGTTTTATTTTTATATTTATTTTATTGATAAAATAATTTAATTATTATTTGTGATTTTTGTTTTTTTAGTTTTTAATGAATTTATGCTTTATTTTGACTTTTATGATTTTTTCTATTTTTCAATTTATTACTATTTTTGATTGATTTTTATTTTCTATATTTTTATATTTATTTTATTAATAATATAATATTTATAATTTTTAGTAATTTTTTTTTATTTTTTTTATTTTTTCTATTTTTTTATAATTATATTTATTTTATTTAGAAAATAATTTATTTTTTATGAATTTTAATGATTTTTATGTTTTGTTTTGAATTTTTTATAATTTTTTATAATTTTTTTTTGTTTTCGATTTTTTGTCTAATTATATTTAATACGATAATATTTATAATTTTTATAGTTTTTTATAACTTTTTTTTATTTTTTTCTATTTTTTGTATAATTATATTTATTTTATTTAGAAAAGAATTTATTTATTTATATTTTTTATGAATTTTATAGATTTTATGTTTTGTTTTGAATTTTTTTAGAATTTTTTACAATTTTTTTATTTTTTCTATTGTTTGTATAATTATATTTATTTTATTTAGAAAATAATATTTTATTTATATTTTTTATGAATTTTATTGATTTTTATGTTTTGTTTTAAATTTTTTTTAAAAAATTTATATTTTCTATATTTTCATATTTAGTTTATTAAGAAAATAAATTTTTTTTTTTGTAAGGTTTTAGTCGCTGACGCTAAAATTTTCAGCGTTCAAATTTTTAATCGCTGAACGCTAGCGTCTGGTCGCTGCGATCAGTCGCTGAGACGGCGACCAGTAAACGAACAATGTTTAGTCGTTGAAGTTGGTCGTTGACACTAGCGACCTCCAAACGAACAGCGCTTTTATATCCTTACACCCAAAAACCCAAAATATCTGATCCGAATCTAAACGGGTATCCGAACGTCCACCCTTTAATTGTTATGTGAAAAACAAAACAAAACAAAACTTTAAATAATCCAAGGGAGGTGGAGGTAGGGACAGTAACGCAACGGGAATAATTGGAGTGGACATGACATAGTTTTTTTGGGGGTGGCTTGGTCGGTTTTGTATACGTTAGTTCGCGCCACGTGTCCTTTTATCCATGGAATGGACGGCTTGAAATCATGGACTAATGAAAAATTGTCATACCAAAAGTCCAAACAAATTATAAACAAATTATTCGGTAAAGTTAGAAGCCAATGGCTTCACCGAAGTAGCAAAAACTTAATAGAATACAATTGCAAAAGTATAGACCTTGGTTTCGATAGCAATAACAATAGTAGATATTAATTAAACACGTTGACTAATATAAGATCGACCATCATTAACTTCCTTCATTTTCCAAATAGTTGGAAAACATAATGGTAGAATGGGTTGAATATGCACTAAGAATTCTTAAGAATTTCTGTGGACTAACAAAAAGTTGCAAAACCTTTATTACCATACGATCTACAGTTTATACTTTATACTAACCAAAAATCAAATTCACACGAATAAAAAAAGACTGTGTACAACTCATGCATGATTTTCTATTAAAAAGGAGATGTATAAGCTTTTGTATTTATGATCTCTTCACGTCGAGTCTAGCTTTCATTACCAAGCATGCCAATGGTTAGCAAAAAGAGGGATATAGAAATTTGGTATATGGCCATACACCGATACACGTTACTGCACATATATAAGCTTGGTTAGTTAACGGGGTTTGGGTGATAAAAGAAAGCGACATAATTTTGGTATCTATGAGTAGAAGAAAACAGCATGTGTGTTAGTACATGGTGTGATACCCAAAAAGACATCAAAACAACGAGGCAACCATGATTTTTCACTACTTTTTTTTTTCTCTCTTTTGGTTTAAACGTTGTCTTTCCTTTTTGGCATATAGTGGATTGCAGCCGAATAATACACAACCCCAATCTTCTTCGCTCATTCCACTCATGTCTATGCAATTTACACATTCATGGTTGAGCTACTAGTTGTGTATCTAGTATTTGCCCATATTAATTGATCTCTGGATGAATTACAAAACTCAACAAAACAATATATAGGTCTCATCGTGCATGGGAATTGCATAATTAGTATTCTTATGAGATTGTACTTTAGAAAAATTAAGAAGAGAAATGTTCCAGATAAAAAGAAAGAAAGAAATGTAATAATGTTATAGATTTTTGTTAGATCAGTTTGCTCAAAAACAAAGATTTTTGTTAGATGAGGTGTCCCTATGTATGTTAGGTGCGATGAGCCCATCCTAATCTGACAAAAGTCCAAATAAACCGCAGATTATCTCAACCACAACTTTTTCACCCCTTCAATTTATTTTACTAGATTTTTCAGTATTTTTTTTGTCGACTCTTTTTGTCGTGATCAACATTCATAAAGACGAATAATTCGAGAAATAACTGTCCACAAATAATCAAAACTCATTTGATTAGATAGCACAAAACAGCTGGAAAGCGCAATTTAAAACTCTGGCCTCAAAATATAAATTCATTTTAATCAATAATCAGTATCATCAGCAAACAAAGAGGATAACGTTAATTATGTCATGAAATTAAACAAAGCAATTAACAAAGTAACATCTTCTTTTAATTAATTTCATTTCCATTTGTTAGCATTATCTTCCAGCTTCAGTCACTATAAAACCACCACTCTCTGTTTCTCTGCAACACATTATTTCCCACTCATCTAGAGAGAGAGAAGAAGAAGAAAACTCCCAAGATGGAAGGCAAGGAAGAAGATGTTAGAGTCGGAGCCAACAAATTCCCGGAGAGACAACCCATCGGAACATCAGCTCAGAGCGACAAGGACTACAA